TAAGACCTGTTGAGAAAGTTACTGCTGGCATCTGGGGTGAGATCCAACGGGCCTCTCTGGAAATCATGGCTCCTTCACTTGCTTGCTGTGTGACCTTGAGCAAATTACCCAACCTCTCTGGGCCTTTGGGAAACAAGGATCACAATATTTCCCATCTCATGAGGACTAGATGAAGTAACACAGAAGTCCCTGGAACAGAGCGAAGTGCATAACAGCCTTGTATTGCCACTGTGGGCACGGGGAGGGTCTTTCACCTCTTTGGACTCAGTTTCCTCATCTGTAAAATGAAGATCACAACAGTGCCTGCCTCAAAGGGTTGTGTTGGATTAAATGACTTGAAGCACACAGCACACTAGAGACTGACCAGTATCACTGCAGAATCTGTGGGGTCAGTTGCAAAATGAATGCTCAGGGTGTCTTGCTCAAAAACAATTAAGAATTTCAAGACAGCAACGGCTGAGCATTAAACCAAGTACGGGTCCATTCATGTCAGCTTGACAGGTTGACAAAGGGGAAATTCCAGGCAAGGGGAACAGCTTGTACAAAGGCTTACAAGGAGCCTGGAACAGAAAATTTGAAACAGGAATTGTCTCCGAAAATCCAAACATGTGACCGCTGTGGCCCCAGAGCATCTGCACAGATGCCTCAGACACAGGGCCTCTGCACCCCTCTCCATTCCCAATTTTGGGTAGGGCTTATTTGGATCAAAATATGTCCCTCTCTGGGCCAGAGACCTCTGCTGACTTTTCTAAGGACACATAGTCTTTTAGTGACAGGGACAGATCCCAAGCTGGTGTTCAAAGCTCCCCACCAAGGATTCTACCGACTCCCCCGACGATGAGGAACATAAATACTTTTAAAAGATTTTTTTTTTTAAATACTAAGCTGACCAGTCATTTTTTGTCACTGTCATGCTTCAGAAAGTAACTATTGGGGGCGATCAGAGGAGAGTGAGTCTACAAAATGTGGCGTTTCCCCGTTAGCTTTAAAAAGTTTTGCAAACATATTTTATGTGTGTTTATAGAAAAAAAAATCCCCAACCCAAATTGATTGAAAAAACGTGTTGTTATTGAAAGGGCCGAGTTGAACTCTTTACAGAGCGCGGCGCTCAGCAAGACTTGGAAGGCGAAGATTTCATATAAATAGTTGTGCCGAGTTGTTATGGCAACTGAAATTTGAAAAGTAAATAGGTTTTGGGGAAATATTTTTCCTTGTCTTGGAAGGATTTTCTGTCGGGGATCATTTGCAAAAAGGAAGAGTTAATCCAATGCCCAATGGGCTTGGTGTATGTTCTGGAGGGGCCGAAATGGGGTCCCAGTGCTGAAGATCTTGACATCAGTGGAACAAGTTCTTTCCTTTCTCTGACTAGGGATGAAGAACAGGATGGCATGGGCTGGGTCCTGCGTGCTGTGTGGCCGTAGACCAATGACCTGCCCTCTCTGGGCCTCAGCTATTGTGTCTATAAAATGGTTCCATTGAAATTAATCATCATGCAGTATTGTCTTGGGCACAAGCATCTGCTTGTGGATTTGATTCTCACAACAGCCCACTGAGGTTGGCCTGCTTGTCTCCATTGGAGAGATGAGGAAACTGAGGCCCAGGGTAGAATGGAGGCTTGCTGGAGATAACACAGGAGTGGGTGATAACATCAGAGATCTGCTTGAGTTTCTGGTTCAGAGTGTAATCCCTTACTGCATTCTTGCATACTGTTGCTCATGTGTGCTGGCAGCCATCCTGTGCAGTGAAACCCTGCTGGCCACCACCCCAGCTCTCCATGAGAAATTAAGGCCCCAGGGACCAGAGGCCAGAGCTAGTCACCTGCAGGAGGCCAGCCAGGCCTTGTGAGGGCTGGAGACCCTCATGGGTAGGGACAGGGCAACTGTCCCCAGCCCTCATTCTAGCATGCCAGGTTATGGAGCTGTCTCTATAAGCAGAGGGGCCACTGTAGCTGCGTCTGTCCCCTGTTTCTCCTCTCCCCAAGGCAGGAACACCATGCACTAGACAGGGAAGGGCCGTGGCTTTGGAGGAGACCATAATGAAGAATAATTACTCTCACGTGTTCCGCCTCTTTGAGGAAGAGCTGTACACGCCCAGTGGCATTTAAGCCTCATAGTGTCAGACACCAGCATATGATGCTCCCGTTTTCAGATGGGGAGATGAGGTCTTGGAGGGGGACAGCCACTTACCTACGCCCTCACATCTAACAAGTGGCAAAGCTTAGACTCGAATCCAGGTCCGACTGGTTCTTGAATCTGACGTCTTCCCTACCTGCTCTTTTGAAGCCAGCCAAAGCTTTATCATGGACACACTGGCCACATTCATTGTTCCTCTGGGCCTCAGAGTGGTTGGTGCTGGGTACTATGGCCCTGTTCATGGTTATGTACACTGAGGCACAGAGAGGTGAAGGGGCTTGCTTTTAAGCCACATGGCTAGTAAGAGAGGATCCATCTGATGTTGGGGGCCACCTGGCACTAGGGTGGGTTTTAGAAATGTAATGAGCTGCCCATCGCTGGGTGCATTCCAGCTCACAGGCTGGACTCAGAAGGAGGTTCTGTAGGGTGGAGGCTGAGTTGGATGATTGCAAAATACCCCAAAGGGTCCTCCACGGAGATCTGAAGAGCTGAGGTCGGATCAAAGATTCAGAGCTGGAGGACTGACCCTTGTTCTGGGCTCTGGGCTTTCCTCTATCCTCGATTGAGTGTTCAGTGTGGGATCACAGAATGGAATGTCTGTGGAAAGCGTCCCCCAACCTGGGGCCAGAGCAACGGTATGTCCCTGCTTGACAGCAGGCACACATGTGTACATACGTGCCTGTGTCCATGTGTACACCTGTGTGTGCATGTGTATGCACATGTTTGCTTGCTTGTGCCCATGCATGTGTATATGTGTGTCATATGTCCATCCACATGCCTGTGTGTCTGTGTGTGTATGCATGGCCTTGGTGCCTGTGTGTATTTGTGTGCAAACTACCCCTCACCTACCACTTCTGTCTGCATCATTTGGACTTTTGCTGGAATCTCAGGTCACTATGGATTTAAGAACTCAGCAGCTCCCCAGGATGGGACTGAAATGGGACCATGAGGACACTGACCTCTGGAGTTGCCCTGGTTCAAATCCTGGATTCACCACTTTCTGCCAGGAAGGCTGAGACTCGAGGTTGGTGGCCCCTAAGCCTCAGTTTCTCCCTAGTGAAATGGGGCTATCTCAGCACACGCCTGCCTGGCAATTACAAAGGTGCGGTGATGTCTGTCTACAGGGGCCACCCTCCCCCTCCCCACACTGGGGTCTTAAAGACATTTGCTTTCACAGGCCCTGATGGAGGAAGCCCCCGACTCCCCAGCTGTGGGGAAGGCACCAGGTGCTCAGGGCAGTTTCAGACACGCTCCTCAAAGCCCAGAGACATCTGGCGCCCAGGACCTCCCAGCAGAGGCTCCTGTGTGACGCCAAGCTCCCTGGGCCCATCTCCCCATTTACGTGACAGCGACAGGGATGGGGAGAGACACCATGGATGGGAGCCCTAGCAGGGAAGGGGGAGGCAGAGGTGCTTGGGTTTATCGGGAGCACCCCATTTGAGAAAGGGTGAGCCTTGGCAAATTGAAATTCAAAATTCTTTTTGATGGGGGAAGGGGGAAAGAGGGAGAGACAGAGATGAAGATAGAGATACAGATACACACAAGTATATATATACATACATACATATGTCTGGCTGGCTGTCTATCTATCCATCCATCTATCTGTCAAGAGAAAAACAGAGACAGAGAAACAGGGAGAAATAGAGACAAGAGAGACAGAGAAACAGAAAGGAAATGAACATATTCTCAACAGCTCAAGGCATGCTATGTTGAAAAGTGGCCTGAGCTTGGCCTCCTAGGGGCCAGTCCTGTCCCTGGCCAGCGGGGTAATCTTGGAGAGACTCTCTCTTGGAACCTGCGTCCCCTCATTATCATCTCTTACTTCTCAGCACTGTCTGAAGACGAAGGGATGAGAGTGCGCCTGGCACGCTGTGAAGTGCCACCTGAATGCCTGTGGTGGCTCCTCCTTACTGGGTCTGGGACCCTTCAACGAGAATTCTCCAGTAGGTGAGTCCTAGGCTGCTTTGGGAGACCACCCTCCAAATGATAAGGGCAGCAGAGACTGAGTTGTCCACCTCAAATCTGTTTTCTTCTTCACAGTGCTATAGTTCTCAATCTTCCTTGTAGCTGAGTGTGGCCAGGTGACTTACAATTTTGGTCAATGAGGTGCAGGCAGAGTGATATAGAACAGCATCAAGGATACTCCTTTGAAGCACAGTTGGTGGACACCCTTTTGCCTCTTCTTCCTTGCCTCCTTCCTACTGGCTGGGATGTGAATGGGATGGCTGACGCTCAAGCAACCATGTTGTACCATGAGGAAAGAAGCTCCATCCAAAGGGTGGACTGCCTGCCTCTGGAATTCTGTTACAGGAGTGAGAAATAACCTTCTGTCTTATTGCAGTTGCTGGTCTTTAGCTTTTCTCTAAGTTAATCTGCATCCTAATGGATAAAGCAGGGAGAAGGTATTTCTCTATCTGGTCTTCCCTTCTAGAAGGAAATTCAATCTGCTTAGTGTTGGCAGACACATGGGGTAAGTCTAGATTTCCTCAAGTGGTTAGTCTGGCAGAAGAATACTATCAGTAGCAGTGAGAATACTGTCATAATAATAAGGACAATAACAGCAGCTCTGAACTCTGGCAACTTCGGCACCTATCTGCCTCCCCTACCAGACTCTCCGCTCATTAGGGGTGACCAGAAGCTCCTGTTTACATCTGTTTCCAGCTCAGCACCTGGCACCCTCCGCAGTCCCCCAGGCAGGAGAAGCCACAATCCTGGCAGGAGGTGGGGACACAGGCATTACCTCTGCAGAGACAGAGAGACACCACAGTCTACATGGGACACCACTTGGCCTGTGGGAGAGAGGCTGAGAACAGCCTCAGCCCCTGAAAATCCTGGCTCTTGTAAGGCCTGGCTGTATTCCTTGGGTTGTCTGTGGGTTTCAGAGAGACTGGTGTCCCTTTTCTACAAAGCTCCTTCAATTCCTGTAGAATGTGGTGGTCGAGAGTGTGGACTCTGACCTTGGGCACAAATCCTGGCTCTGCTGCTCCTGGCCCATGACCTTGGGCAACTGACCTCTCTATGAGCCTGTTTCCTCGTTTGGCAGATGGACACGGTGCCTTATATGCAAAAGACTGCAAGCTTTCCATTTACACAGACCACGACTTCTCAGACAGTCATACACGCTGATTGCTGGGGAATTTGTTAAATGCTGGCTCTGACGCAGTACGTCTGGGGCAGTGCCTGGGGTTCTGCATTTCAGACAAGCTCCTGGGGACACCGAGGCTCCAAGTTTGGGGACCGCATCTTGAGTAGTCGAGGCTTAGCCTAGATCAGTGGTTGGCAAACTTTAGCCCGTGGGCCTGCCATCTTCTTTTGTACATCAAGTTCTATTGGAACATGGCCACACGCTTATTTACATATTGTCTATGACGTTTTTCATGCTACAGTGAGAGAGTTGGGCAGTTGTGACAGAGGCTATGTGGCATGCAAAGCTGAACATATTTACTATCTGGCCCTTTACAGCATGAGTTTGCCAACCCCTGAAGTGATGTTGAAAGAATGAAACGAGAAGATGGATTTGAGGCCACTTGGCCCAGAAAAAGGGCTGGGTTCACAGCACTGGTCATGGAGCTGGCTCAGTAGGCATCTATGTCTTCCTTACCCAGGAAGGTCCCTCAGCTAAAACTGAGCACGGGAGATGGAGGACAGGCTAGGGAAGAAGTCACAGAAATAAAAAGGTGCAAGAGAAAGTCACTCTGGAAATCCCTCCCCTTCCTGGGCCTCGCTTCACCCTCCCTGCCTCAGCTTCTGCTGGATGCGCCTGGTGAAATTGGGGGCTCTGGGTTCCCCAAGGAGTTGGCACAGCCCCTAAGGCTTCTTGCAGCCTCCCGCAGCCTCCCTGGCAACCCCTCAACCTCTGACAACGAGGCCCAGCAGTCGCCCTTGCCATCCCTGCTCACGGAAGCTCATCAGAGGAGCACCACCGGGGTGCATCCAATTCCGCCGGCTCCTCATCGAAATGAGAAATCTGTGGTCCGGGCAGCCATGGAGCGCTGATAACACTTGTGCAGGTGAACCTCCTCACTTATCACTGCCGGGGTCACCTCTGTCTCCAAAGACTTGTTTTCCTTTAAAAAAAAAAAAAAATCCTTGGGATGTGTGATGGGTTTGGCTGTGATAAAAGAAAAAAAAAAAAAGAAAGTGAAGAAGAGCTAGAGGAACATTTTATTTTTTCAGAAGCAGGAGTTCCGCACCCCCACCTCCCTTCCTTCTCCTGCCGAGGGGCTGCACATCCCACCTTCTCCCCAGCTCCTGCCTGCCAAGACCAGGAACCAGAAGGAACAGGGAAAATCGTGGAATCATTTAGATCTGGTTTTCTCTCCACATGGCAACAGTTGCCACACAAAAGAGATCCCAGCCCAGACTTGGCCTGGATTTGTTTGGCCAACAAAGCCAGTTCGTTCAGGAATCAATAGCGAGGGTGATGAGATGGAACAGGGATGAGGACTGTCTGCAAGCCTGGTCCTCTGTCCCCTGACCCTCCTGGCCAGGCTGTCCTCCCTGCCTCTGAGCCCAGCTCATCTCTCTCTCAGTCTTGGCTTCTGGGTCTCTGTCCCCCAGGGTTTCTTTCCCTCTGTCTCTATCTCTGTCTCTGTCTCTCTCTCTCTTTCTCTCTCTCTCCCTCTTTCTGTCCTTTGTCCCTGTGCATGGCCCTCTCTATCTGTCCCCTCTTTCCAACCCTTCCCCTTTCCAACTCATTCTCTCCCTCTTCCACCTGTGGGTTTCTGTGTGCATCTCTCTGTCTCCCTCTTTCTCCTGTCTCTGTCCCTGTCTCTCCCACGACACTTGTCTCTTCCCTCTGGGTCTCTGTCTTTCTCAACATTTCTGTCTTGTGTTGGTCCCCGTGTGTGTCTCCTTCAATGGGTCTCCTTCTCCCTGCGTTCTGCCCCTGCATCTCTGCCTCAACCTCCCCACTCAATTAGAAGACGCCCTCTTGGCCATCAGCTTCTGGGCCCTGTACACACCAGTGTGAACTTTCTCTTCAATGTTCCGTGTCCTGGCTTGTGCAATGATGGGTCAGAGGGATGGCTTAGGGTTTCAGAGCTGCTCACATCACGGCGCGCCTCCCCCATCTCCTCCAAGGATTCTGATTGAGGAAGAGGCGAGTGTGACAAATGAGACCAGAAGCCCTGGGAGTGAGCGTGGTTCCCGGGGCTGGGAGGACAGACTCAGAATTAAACAATGCCTGGCACATAGTAGGCATTCCAACCTCATTCTCCGGGAGTTCACAGTACTACAGAGTACACCCATCCCCAAATATCAACCACCCAGGCAAGGTGGCGAGGACCCTGATTGCTTAGGGCAGACAGGTTTTAAGCCAGACCTGAGCCAGAGCAGGGTTCAAATACTGTTTGTGCCACTTACTAATGGGGTGACCCTGGGCAGGTCACTTAACCTCTGAGTCTCAATGTCCTCATCTGCAAATAGAGGTAATGGCAGCACCTGCCTCATGGGTCAATGTTAGGATCAAATTATTTAAATTATGTAATGCATGTAGAACAATGCCTGGCACATAGTAGGCATTCCAATAATATTAGCTTTTATTATTACTATGAGAATCATAAGACAAGTGAGCTGCTGTTATACTTCCTACCTGGGTTCAGAGGGAAAGGATATTTTGGTTGGGGTTTTGAGGAATGAGTAGGAGTTTGCCAAACTGACAGTGGACCTTCCTTCCAAGGTTGGTGGTACCACATGAGTCAATGTCATTTTATATATGAGAAAATAGAAGAGAGGGGAAGGTACAGAGAGGGCAAGTGGACCTCAGTCATAATTACAAATCCCAAAGAAGAGTGTGGCAAACCTATAGGTTTATGTCAATGGTCACTCTGATCCTGGCCCTGAGACCTCAGGAACAAAAGGGTTAATGGATTGTTTCATTCTCACGGGAACACAATGGTCTCTGCTTCTCTTGCTTCTGTTCAATCTGTCCCTGTTCCCTAAGCTGTGAGCACAGAGTCAGCCATCCCAAAGACTGCGATAGGGATGGGCCTGCAGTTGCGGGGGCAGCCAGCTACTGGCAGACCTACACAGCCCTTTCTCCAGCTGGAGCATTCTTGGCCCCAAAGCAGCTTGCAGATGCTGGAAGAAATGAGGAAAATGTTCCTCGGATCAGCTGGTTGGTATTTAGAGCTCTCCAGATCCAAAAGTCGCAGCCTCTTGGCAGCCCAAGTGACTCCAAGATGCTGCCAGTTTGCTTGGTCTTGGGGCTTCTTGGAAGAGTTGGTAGTTTTCTGTTTTCTTTCTTTCTTTTTATTCTTTCTTTTTTCAGTCTTTGAGGCGGCTTGGAGAAAGCCGGTAGCTTCCTATACGTATATATTTTTAAATCCTCTGTTCTTTCCTTTCCATTATTTCTATGCAATGAGAAAAGCTCAGGTAGTCGGAAATGGCTTTTTCTTTCTCTTTCAGCTTGGGGTACCCTCTTCAGCCCTTGAGGTCTGTCCACACACCCTTATTTCAGAGAGAATCTGTGGCATTGAGAAAGACCACACTGCCTGGGTTCAGATCCTTAGTAATGATTGTGGCAGCAGGTTCTGGTGTGGTCCTGCCTCCTGGTATTCACACCACGGTATTCCCTCCCTTTAAGCGTGAGCTGGACCTGGTCACTTGCTCCTAAAGAATAGAATACTGCATAAGTGATGAAATGTTAATTCTGAGAGTAGGCTAAAAGAGACCATGAATTCCTTCTTGTTCTCTCTGCCTCTGCCTCTCTGTCTCTGTCTCTGTCTCTCTCTCTCTCTCTCTCTCACCTGCATACTTGGAGGGAGAAAGCTGCTATATTGGAGATCCCCTCCAGAGTGCTCTTCCTGTCTTCAACCAGATCCAGGATCCTGAACTTCAAAGTATCATCTGGATTGAACAGCCAGTACAAGACCCTCGGTCCTACAATCTGCGAGAAATCAAATTCTGCCAGCAAGCAAGTGAGTGAGTTTAAGTCATGTCCCGTTCCAGCCAAGTTTATTAGGATGACACTGCAGCCCCAGACCTTAATGGTAGACTCTGAGAGATCCTAAAACAGGGGAACCAGGTAAAGCTCGATGGCTGATCTATAGAAATCATGAGATACCCGTGCTGTTGTTTCAAGCATCTCCGCTTTGGGGTAATTCGTTACTTGGCATAGATAATGAATACAGTAACCTTGGGGGAAGTGAGTTCTACCTCCCCATCTGTAAAGTGGATGCAATGATGCCTGAAAAGTCCGTAGGAAATAGGTACAGGGTCTGGTGCCCAGGAAGAGTTCAGCACATGAATATTTTATATCTTAGTTAACAAATATATCCTGGACCAACCCTGGGTCCTGTGACAGGTGCTGGGGGCTTGGGGGATGACAAAACAATGGTAGCCCTGCCCTCATGGACTCAAAAGTCCAGTGCAAGGGAGTCATGCAAAGTTAAGTAGGAAGTTTCATGAGTTCCTGAGAGCAAATGCCAGGGAGACCTGGCCAAGGCAGGAAGGGCTTCCAGAACAAATGGTTTACATGGAAATGAAAATGATAGGCTTCTTTTAAATGGCTGGAGAGCCAGCCATAAGCCAGTCCTGCTCCCAGGGTGTATGCTGTCTAAACATAGGCTTCCCCTAAAACAGACCCCAAGACAGGGATGTGAAGGCGAGTGGCATTTTAGAGGAATAATCCAGGAAGCACTGGTGGGGAAGGAAAGGAGTGAGACAGAGAAGGGAAAAGCTTATCCAGGGTGCACTAATGAGCAGTTGATCACGTTGAGCAGCTGGGACTCAATCCCATTGGGGAATTCTGAGAACCAGTGTAAAACACATACCTCAGTTATCTACCCAGAGAGTGAGGGAGCTGAGATATTTATCCTCCAACTTCTGTCCATCACTGGAAGGGTGCTTTTGGAGCATTAACTCCTGGTGCTTCTGACCTTGCCCTCATGCACATCATCTGAGCAAAAGCGCTGGTAGAGAGCTGCAGGTGCTTGCTGTCACGTGCATTCAGCATGCACTGGGGTGGTAAGTATGGGGTGTATGCCCAGGGAGGCACCGTTTGCATCTGTACCACGTGTAAATCCACAGCAGGATGGGATGAACAGAACCTCTACTCTGATAATGCTAAGCTTTAGCACGATTCCTCCCTGCAGGCTCAGCCCTTCCCAGAGTCCCCACACCACCTTGGACAGGCATTAAAGGTCGTTCCTCAGCTCCTCCCCACAGCCTGACCTTGGCCTCCAATCCTCTCAGAGCCTTGGTCTGACCACAGGACTCTTGTTTACTACCAGAGCTTGTCCCTATTTTGCCCCCCATCCCCATCACTGATGGTTATCTTGGTTACCTGCCTGATGCCTCTCACACTGGGCCCCATGAGTGCTCTTCCTGACTTCAACCAGATCTAGGATCCTGAACTTCAAAGTATCATCCGGATTCAAATCCCATCACCAGAATGCATTATCCAAGTACCCTTAGGAGCCTCTCACCTCTCTGAGCCTCCCTGTTTACCCAGAACCGAGGATGGTGAGAGGACCAATGAGCTCACTCCCTTCCAGAATCAGTCTTTAACACCAAACTGTGCAGCACTGCATGGATGCCATGGGTACAGCAAGGGCCAGAGTAGAAATGGGCACTGCCTCATGGAGCTCAGGTCCAGTGGGATGATGGCGAATGGGCCCAGAAAGCTGTGAGCACCAGAGACAGAGTCCACTCCAGCTTGCTGAAGCACACAGGGAACTCGCTGGGGCTGGTCACTGGGAAGGACCCCTGGGAGTGGCCCCATGGAACTACAGGAAGAGCTGCAGACCCAGGCTCCCCACAGCCTCTGCTCATCTGTTCCCCATCACTGCTCATCTCCACTTGGTATCTGTCTGCAGACCAGCTCGCTCCAGGTGGTGGGATGGTGGCTGCTTGGGGTCCCAACATCACATTCTTTCAGCTCAGCACCTTGTCTGTGTCTTCCATGGCTGTATAACTAACCACCCCAAAGTGGAGTGTCTTAAACCACACCATTTATTTTGTTCATTAATCTGCAATTGGGCAGGACCCAGTGGGACAGCCTGTATCAGCTCCATGTGACATCAGCTACAGGGACTCAAAGGCTGGGGGGTTGGAATCACCAAAGGCTCATTTATTCTGTCTGACAGTTCATGCTGTCCGTTGGCTGGAATCTCAGAGGGGGCTATCAGTTGGAACATTGAACATTGGCCTCCTCACGTGACTGGGGCTTCCTTACAAGATGGCAGCCGAGTTCCAACAGCGAGTGTGCCGAGACAGAGCCAGGTGAAAGCTTCATCACCTTTTGTAACCTAGCCTTAGAGCTCATACAAAGTCCCTTCCACCACCCTGCCTCTATTCACCGAGGCAGTCACAAAAGCTGTCCATATTCAAGGGGTAGGGGACTGGATTCCACCACTTGTAGGGAGCAGTGTCAAATAATTTGAGGACATGTTTCAAAACAAACAGCCTCTGTGGACACTGATTATCCTTGTTCTGGTCCCATGTATACTCTGTGGGCTACTCACTTGTATTGGGGGATAGGAGGTTGGGATTTTTCAGTCCTGAGTCAAACCTCCCTTCCTGGGGCCAGTGTGAATATGTGGGGAGAAGGTTGAGACTGTGAACTCACAGCCAGACCAGAACTACATACAATGAGAGACTGAGGTTTCTCCAAACAAGGGAAGGCAGGCAGACAAAAACATGTCCTCTCTGAATAATAAACAAATAAATAAACACACAAGTACATAATGATCCACAGTGAAAAGTGCTCTGTTGGCAAAGGACAGGATGTGCTTGTAAGAGTGACTCAGGGTGGGGTGGGCAGTGGAGATGGAGCCTTGGACTGAGAGATCAGGGACTATCTTCAGAGGAGGTGTTTTATACTGAGGCTTGAAGAGTGAGAAGGGGTCCGCCAGAGGGAAAGACTGGGTTTCAGGCAGAGTTTAGCCTATGCAAAGGCCCCGAGATGTGAAAGCGTGGCATATTCAAAGACTTAAGTGGCCACATGGCTGGAGCAGCGTGAAGAAATTGGGGCATGCATGGCAGAGATGAGGCTTGACCACACAGTGTCTTGAAGGCCATGATAAGAGTTGGGATTTAAGCCTGTGAGCAAAAAGCAAGATCCAACTTAAGTTTACACATATTGTACCCCAAATGCCTGGCATGGAGTTATTTTACACGTGCACGTTTTTAAAGTCTGTTAGTTCCTTTCCCCCACTTTTTTTTTTTTTTTTTGGAGACGGAGTCTCGCTCTGTCACCCAGGCTGGAGTGCAGTGGCCAGATCTCAGCTCACTGCAAGCTCCGCCTCCCGGGTTCACGCCATTCTCCTGCCTCAGCCTCCCAAGTAGCTGGGACTACAGACGCCCGCCACCTCACCCGGCTAGTTTTCTGTATTTTTTAGTAGAGACGGGGTTTCACCATGTTAGCCAGGATGGTCTCGATCTCCTGACCTCGTGATCCACCCGTCTCGGCCTCCCAAAGTGCTGGGATTACAGGCTTGAGCCACCGCGCCCGGCCTTTTTTTTTTTTTTTTTTTAGATGGAGTCTCGCTCTGTCGCCAGGCTGGAGTGCAGTGGCGCAATCTCCGCTTACTGCAACCTCCGCCTCCGGGGTTCAAGTGATTCTTGTGCCTCAGCCTCCCGAGTAGCTGGGACCACTGGCGCGCACCACCACGCCCAGCTGATTTTTTTTTTGTATTTTTATTAGAGATAGGGTTTCACCATATTGGCCTGGATGCTCTCGATTTCCTGACTTCATGATCTGCCCACCTCGGCCTCCCAAAGTGCTGGGATTACAGGCATGAACCACCGCACCCATCCCCTTTCCCCACTTTTTTGGGTCCCTCATCCTTCCAAAATCACTACCAGCTTGGTAACCTTTGCCCCCATCCTGTACACCCCGTCAGTCTTTCCCACAACTGCCTTTTACACCAGCTTCCTGCAGCTGTTCTGCCCTCTCTGTTGGGGCAAATATTGCCAGCTTCAATTCCCTGTTCCATCCACCATAAGTCACCAGGGCATGCCCCGTTGAGCCTGAGACATGCGTGATGTCAACAAGTGGCAGCATGAAGGCGACATTTTCTTCACCCGGCCACCACCTGTGCTGCCAGCCCATCCATCCCTCCTCAATGCACCCAATCCATCCAATTTAAATAAACAAATCCCCCAAACAGGGCCCAGTAATGGAAACGCTGACAGACCCTTATCTACGGCATCTCTGGGTGTGCACAGGTCTATAATGATTTGGGCCTCACTGAGGCGGAGGAGTTATTGCAATTGTGCCGCACCTATGACAGTTTAATCAGATCTTGAAAATCAGGGGCATTACATCGTGCACCTGCTCATGAGGACAAAAAGGGAAAAAAATGGCTGGTAGAGTTTTCTATCATGGGTTCTTTTTTTTTTTAATACCCAAGTAGGACTTTCAGAGTACATAATTCATTGCATGTGTGTGGGGGAGGGTAGGCAGTGGGGGGTGTGGGAAGTAGAATTACACAGAGTGGTGACTAGAGAAGACTGAGGGAAGATGGGTCCACAAAGGGGCTTATTTGGTCTACACAGGCTGTGTCTTGGAGGATGTGACCATGTCTGGGCAGTGGAGAAAAACAGACTTAGGTTCAAGACCTGCATCCTTCTCTCCCTTTCCTTCCTTCCCTCCCTTCTTCCTATGAATATTTGTTAACTTCCAACTTTATCTCTTGCCCACTGCTATGCACCAGGAGGCTATAATAACCCAAGTGTGTCCAGGTTCTGCCCTCCAGGAGTCAGAATATATGATTAGGGAGAAACAGCTGACTCACAGAATGTCTTAGTTTTTGCCTCCTCAAAAGCAGGAGACCAGGGACAAGGACCTCAGATATGCAACAGACTTGGGGGCAGGAAGTGTCTTCGGAGGTGATCCCAGGTAGCAGGACTGGGGAACAGGGGGAGAGACAGGGAAGAGAAGAACATTCCAGGGAAGGGCATGCTGTTGATCTGG